TTGCCTTAATGTCAGGGAAAAATTCTGAATATTTGCCGAAATCTTCTAATCCGCAACCTTCGAATGTGTTGCCTAATATTCCTAGAAAAACTCCTTTTCCCAAATCTTTTAAAGAACCTTTAACTGGTTCTGATAGCAATGGAAATCATGGTATTAGTATTTCTTCTTCTTCTTTGAATGTTATGCCTGCTTTAATTGTTTCTGATGAGGATAGTAGAAAACTAGCTGAACCATACAAATATGCATTAGTTAGTAAATTTTCTTTCAGAAGGCCTTATATGGAAGAAATTAGGAAATTCTTTCATAGTTTGAATCTCACGGGTATTTTTTTCTATTTGCTTTTGGGATGCTAGACATGTATTTATAAATCTTTCAAATGACTTGGATTATAGCAGGATTTTCTTGCAAAGGTCATATTATGTGAGAAACTGTTAAATGAGAGTATTAAAATGGTCTCCGAAATTTCATATAATCACCTCTTTGTCCTGTTTGGATTTCTTTATCATACTTACGTATGCATTTTTTCAATGCTCAAGTGTTATAAGTGATCGGTTCCATTTTTGGGAGACCATTACAGGTTGATCAAGCAACAGCCAAAAAATCGAGGCCTTCTGTGGGAAGAATTTTAGTGGAAATTGATATCACTAAAGATTTTCCGAATGACATTTGGATTGGTTCAGATTCTTCTGGTTATATTCAGAAAATTGAATTTGATAAATTTCCTATTTTATGTACAAATTGCAAATTACATAGGCATGATTTGAGTAGTTGTTTTATTTTGAATCCTTCTTTTAAAGAGAAAAATCTTAAGCAACATATTCCTACTAAATCTCTTAATAAAGAATAGATTCTTGATAATTCTCTAAATGATTATTTAGAGAATGTGGAGAAAGATTTAAAAGAACTAATAGATATGAATGATGTTAATGTAGTTAACAATAATTCAGATATCTTAGATTCTCTTAAGAATTGAAAAAATTTTGGATATGGTTGTTTATGATAAATATCTTGCTTTGAAAATTTAAGGTTTTTGTGATGATTCTTTGCATTCTAATGTTCAAGATGATTTTATTTCTATTACTTCATCTTCTGTTGTCAAGGCTTTGAATAATGTTAGTAAAATGATGAAAAAATAAAACAGTGAGTGTGGTTTCAATAAAGCAACTATTTCTATTACGGATGGTAATTCTTGTGAAAAAGCAGGTGAGAATAAGGAAATGGAGGAGGTGAATTTAATTCTGATGTGGTAAGTGTTTATGATTTTGAGGTGGGTAAGTCAAAAGCGTTTCATTCTTTTTATAATACTAGATTGAAGAAAAAGAATTTTACGGTCTTAATAGGACCTAAATCTTTTCCTTTACAAAAATAAATGATTAACTTTTTAGTGTGGAATGTTAGAAGGATTGGTTCTCTCTATTAGAAATAGAGTTAGGAATTTATGTCCTATTCATTGAATTGAATTGCTAGTTATTATTTAACCTATGATTAATATTTGTAAAATTATGCATACTGTTAGATTATTAGGTTTCAAGCATTTTTTTTTTCTAATTCTTCTAATAAAATTTGGTTATTTTGGCTAATAATGTTTCTTTAGATGCTATAGAAGATTTTCATCATGTTGTAAATGTGTCTATTATCTATTTTGATTTTACTGTTAAGGGATCTTTAGTATATTCTGCTTGTAATAGATATGATAGAAGAATTCTTTTGAACCAAATTTGTTCTTTTGCATTGGATATTAATGATCCTTGGTTTGTTGGAGGGGATTTTAATACAAATCTTCATGTTAATGAAAGGGTAGGGGGTTGTCCTCCTAATATGAATTCTCTGGAAGAATTTTCAAATATGATTATTGATTGTAATTTGACTGACATTGATTTTGTGGGATCGACTTTTACTTGGAACAACAATAGATTTTGAAAAAGATTGAATGGGATTCTATTCAATCATTTATGGATTGCTAAATGGCATTTTACTTCTATAAAACATCTTAGTAGAAGCTTATCCGATTATTGCCCTTTATTGATTTCTATTGAGAAGAGAAGGATAATATTTCTTAGAATGGTTGCCTTAGTTTTAGATTTCAGAATATGTTGATTCGACATACTGAATTTTTTAAGGTGGTTGAATCCAAGGTTTAAAATTGCGTAAATAAGCCTCGAGGTATTTTTCGTCCGTGAGGCGAGGCGTAATCCTTGAGGCGGTGCGAGGCGTAAGCCTCATGGACGAAGAATTGCGTAAATGGGAATTTATGTATTTGACTTTTCCTTTCCCCTAACCATATTTCCTAATGCATAAATGCAAAATTAAATCAAAAATCTCAAAAAAATTTAAACCCTAGATTTTTTCTTGAAAAATCAAACTTTGAATTAAAAAAAAAAAAACTTAAAACCCATAGTAGAGGTGTCGTAGAGGGCAGCCGGACTCAAGTTGCTCACGGTCGTGAGGCGGCGTGAAGGCCGGCCGAGGGAAGCTAGTGCTTGTGGAGCTCTTCTGTTTAGTTCGGATAGGCATAAAGAAGAAAGGGATGAAATGGCTTTTTTTTTTTTTAAGAACTTAAGTGTGTGGAACCCAGCTCCATGAGGCGTAAGCCTCACCTAAAATTGCGCAATTAAGCCTCTGAGGCGCGCCTCAGGATCCATGAGGCGTAAACCTCACCCAGACCCAAAATTGCTTAAGCAATGAGGCTCTTTGGGGTAGAATTGCGCAGAGGCTCGCCTCTTATTGCGCAATTTTAAACTATGGTTGTATTGCTCTTGATAACTCAATAAAAGGTATGATTGGAATTGGGCTAAAATTGAAGCGTTTAAAAAAATGTCTTAATTGATGTAATAAGTATCATTTCAAAAATATTTTTGCTAACATTAAAGAAATGGAGAAAAAGGTTTTTCCTTTAGAAAAATATTTTAATTTTTTATCCTTTTTTTTAAATGATTTAAATGTTGCCAAGGACTAACTTATTCAGTGTCAAGACATGGAAGAAACTTTTTGGAGACAAAAAGTTTTTTCTAAGCATATATCTGATGGGGATAGAAATATCAAATACTTTGATGCTTTGGTTAACAAAAAGAAATTCATTAATTGTATTAAGATGTTAACTGGATCTCGGATGCATTGCTAAACAATTCGGTGATTAGAATTTTTTCTAATATATTTTGTAACAACGTGAATTTTCAGCAATTATTCAATTCTCAAGTCCTTGATAATGTTATTTCTGTTGAGGATATCTGAGAATCAAGAGGGGTTTATTTTCTCTTTTCTTTTTTTAAAAAAATCTTAAAACAAACTTGCTTATTTTTTTGATATGTGTATAGTTAGAGGATTTTAAATTTCGCTTGTGAATCTTCCAATATATCATCCTGATTGTTCGCGCTAAAACTTTAAATGAATATCCGTCGTTAATTGTATCTTCAACCAAATGGCACAATTTGTGTTTATCTTCTTCTTCTTATCAACACATCCCTGCACGAAATGGCGCCGTTCATAAAATTTCATTTGCTCGCAATCATATATGGCGCTGTTCTATTCTTCCCATTGTCAGTGCCAACGACGGTCCTGCTCACCAAACCCAGCAAACATCCCCTTTCAAAAGGTAAACTTATTAACGTCTCTTTTTAATTTCTTCAAAAAAAATATTTCTGCTTTGTTCGTCTTTCGCTATCGTTCTGGTTTCGCTCGCCGAAGCAAACTGAAAGTTTTTGCTTTGCGAGTGAACAAACATATTTGAGAGGAAATTTTTATCTCTGGGTTAAAAAATTTAATGTTTGTCAATAAATGAGGAAGCTTTCATATTATGGAAAATTTTTTATTTGCATTTTAGCTAATAGGCAATTGGAGAGGTGATAAACGGAAACAAAAATAGATTGAGGTTTTTCCTGGACAGATATTTTTAAAGTTTTCTATGGTAGTTTGAGTTATTTTAATTACAAATACGCATCTACACATATATTTAAAAAAAAAAATATGCATCGCGCACGTGCATACAAAAGCATGATTACTTTATTATAAGTCAGCTTCTGATCAATAGATTAAGGCTTCGTTTGGGACGGCTTTCTTTGACATAACAGAGAAGTTATGTTTTTAATTTGGTGAACAATTATTTTAAGGTCATTCAATTCTTGCATTGAAATTTTTCCAGTGCAAATACTTCTCTTCAATTTCAAATCTAACCATTAGCCTCACAAGCATTGGTATTTAGATTCATACACTGCTGATATACACAATATCAGTTTTATAACAAGGTAAAAAAAACTAAGATCTTCATGAATCAGTTGCACTTCATCAAATTCAATACACCCCTTTCCTTTAGAAGCTTCATGAATATATTCTTATTTGTTGAACTATATTTTCTAGGTTTCTTTTCAATATATATGATTCCAATATACCAAAATAAAATATACAGAATCCATCAGACTGTAATCTAAATTCATTTTTCGAAATCCTAAATAATTCTCTAAAAAATGGATTCCCTCAGATAAGTAAGAGGAATCATGAATCGCTTTCCATCAACACTATAACAAATATATGGCCTCTACTTGAAATGTCTCTATCATTTGTAGTTGACATAACACTTCTCACAAAAGAAGCCAATTTTCTACACTTCTTTGCCATCTCCATGATTCTTTTGGAACTCAACATTTCTGCTTGAGAGTATGAAAAGTCAAAATTTTGATATCCTAATAATAGTAGCTTCTTCTCTTGTTGGATAGTTGCATTATTTTCTTCCTTTTCATTTCTTCTACTCTACAGTGTTTTTCTCCTCTCTATGTTTTTTCTCCTCTAACAAAGGTGGAGTTTCTTGAATTTTTCATACTTTATTCTTCATACAAGGCAAAAAAAAATTAGTTGACTTCTTTCATAGCCCTTTCTTAGTATTCTATTACAAATAAATTATCTTTTTTTATCGCGAGCATGCGAGCTACAAAATTTTATGTCTTGAGTTAGATTGAATTTTTTTTCCTTTTAAAACTAGATTTCCTGCAGTCTTGAGTCAAGCCTTATCTAGATTCATGGTTTGAGATTATTTATGATTGGATGTACCTAAAAGTTAATCATATCTCCTTATTAAGAGAGCACTCTTGAGTTAAGAGGGTGCTCAGCTATGAATAAATAAAAAAGACAAATGAGAAATACATGGAAAGGTATATGCCAAAATGAAATTAAAAAAAAAAAATTGGTTGAATTGATATTTCAAATTTTCAACGCTTCCACAATTGACATAATATTTTTTGTTTATGTATGCTTGCTATTTCACTTTGTTATTTTTATTAATGTATTCATATTTTTCATTTGCACGTTGGGTACTTAGTATCCTATGGTGCAGCAGCCCCTTTCCATCGTCTCCAATGCACGATTTGGTCTTGCTCATTTATTCTTGTTTTTCTTTGCCAAACCCTAATTCATATAATTAAGTTCATTTCTCCTTAACCTTCGCCTTTGTCTAAGAAGAAGGTAACTTATTGGGGTAAACTTATTAGGGTGAAAATTGATCATTTACTTATTTCCAAACTAATTTTTCTGTTGTACTTCTTATCTCTCTCGCTTAAAGGGTTCGCTGAGCATAACTGACATTATCTTATCGATATTGCTCATATTTTAATATTTATATGTGTTTCTCATCAATTTTAGAAAATATTATTATTTTTGAACTTCAATTAATGTAATATATTATTACCAATTTACTACTACTCAATTATCTATTACTTATTTTGATAAATCTTCTTTTCACACAACACCTTGCATCTTTGATCGTTCAAAATTTAAATAATAATAACATAATAAACATGTAAAAGTGTAGCAATGATTAAAGATAAAACAATGAAAAAATTGTCTCCAACAAACCGTTTACACTGCACATCAACTGGTCTAGTTTTGTTCAGGAAAATGCAAATGCCCACCACAAAAATTTATCATAATGTGGATTAGACTTGTCTCAGTTATGAAGGAAAATAAGTTATGCACATTTTTTGGAAAGATTTTGATGGCTGTCATGAGGAATCCCTGAGAACTTCATACAGAACAATGCTCCCGCAAGCCAAAACCAAAATCAAGGACTGGAATTGCGGGAAGCAGCTGCTCTCCTACACGGACATTTTCCTCCTTCGAGTGCAGCAACATCCATGAGGAGAAACTCTTATTAGAGTATATTGATCTTAGTCTCCATGTACTAATTAGATAAACGAAAGTGCAGCATATTAGATAGTGAGATCCTTGAAAGAGTGCAAATTTCCATTTTCAATACTTACACCGACAACTTGATGGTTCAAGTCACCATTCTCAGGTACACTGTATTCATTGCAGTTGGCTAAACCGACGACTGCTGAGCTCTTCAAACCTTCGAAATAAGTTGTATTAGGGAAATATTCAGCACAGCGGACCTTCCAACCTACAATAAATCAAATACAGTATGATATTAGCAAAGAAAAGAGCTTGTAGGTCATTGATGCTTATAAATTGTTAAAAAGGAAATCTAGAAACAAGCTGTACCCTGAATGTAGCTTATATATCAGAAAAATACAAAGCCATGGTATGACTTTCCTATAAGACTTTCATATTGGGATGAACTAAAGTTATCTACATTGATGCTAAGGTATTATATGCCTCACTCTGTAATAAGCAGATTTTATCATTCTTTTAAACTGTTAGATCCATAAGAAGAAGAAAAATAAAATCTTACTATTTTTCAAGGAACATTTATTCTATTCAAACTTATTTTCAACATAAAACGGCAAAACATTCATTTTTAAATTTTTTCGTATAACACTAAAAAATTTTAATTCCAAAACACAAAATTGTTTGGCAATGGCTTATTCATTACTTTTCTCAATCCGCAATAATATTTGCGCTTTGATTAGCTATAAGTTTTCATTTGATATTTTTCTTCCTGTTTTTCCATTTGGATTATTCAATGCTTGTAAATGAATTTAGTTCTCTTTAAAAAAGTTTGATATTCCATTGCTTGGAATGCAAGAATTGGCTCTATTCAATGCAAGAATTTTAAATACTTCATCACTTTGATAATTGAGATAATATTTTCTTTCTATGTATTTTTGTTATTTCACTGTTCTATTTTTTTTTTATTTATTCATATTTCTCTTTTGCACTTTGGGTACCTAATATTCTATGGTGCAGCATCCCCTATACATCGACTCCAATGCACGATTTGATCCTGCTCATTGGTCCCGGTTGTTTTTCGAAATTCCTCGTTCTACATATCATTCAAGGTAAATTCATTATTATAAACAATTTTTCATTTGCTAAATCATATAATTTCTTACCATTGATTTATAAACACCATTTGCACGAATTCTTGTTTAATTTGAATTACTTACATTCTAAGATATCTCACATTCTTATTTATAGTGATAGTGTAAAGTTATTAAACTTTAATAATATGAGTTAAATTGATTTACTAATTTTATCATTCACGTTGCATGCTATTAAGCATTTTTAATTTAAATTGATTTACTATTGATTTATGAACACCATTAGTTTTTAATATTTGCTTATTTTATGTTACCTTTTTTTTTTCTTTTTTTATATACGCAACCCATCTCATATAAGATTTTATGTAATGCATTTTTTTTATTTAGTCCAAACCCTTCTATATTAAATTATGGCTGTCCTCCCTTAGAATAAGCCAAGATTATTCTTCATATAAGCAAGTGTCATGTAAGATGAATTCAATTGTGGGATTAATAAAATTATTTGTTGCTTTGTTCAACTGTATGCGTGAAGGTTAGCTTGATGTTTTTCTTTATCTTTTTAGTTATTTGAATTTTCAGTGCCTTGTGAAGTTCTTTAATGAGAGTCTCATTTATGTTTCATTGAGGTTCTCTGGTGAGGCTTCAAAAACCATTAGTTATCTTCTCTTTGTACTCCTCCATCCCTTTTGCTCTTAGCCATCTTTTTGATTGACCACTACATTATAACTCAACCTCTATTAGCATCCTCAAAACTCCACTACATAACAACACTACTGTTAAATCTATACTACTATTAAAATGTTGCTTGTGAATCGTCCGATATATCATTGTGAGTGTTCGTTATAAAACTTTAACTTAATATCCATCGTTAATTTTTTAAATATATTCCTATTTCTTTTTTCGACGCATCCCTCCTTATTTCTTCGTATCAATGCATCCCTATACCAAATGGCGCATTTCTTTTGTTGTATAAAATCGTATATGCTCTCGGACACTTAGAATCTTCTGCTCGCCGGATAAAGCAAACTTCTCAAGGTGAACTTATCTTTATTTTTGTTCAAATATCCGTATTTTATATTGGTTGGCTATCAGTTAGTCATTCAACCAGATCTTTGTTCTTATTTCCCCGAGCCTTCTTAATTTTCTTCTTTTAAGATTTTATATCCCTAGAGTATTGAAGAGGTCCATGAAGTGCGGGAAAAATATAATAGGAAAAAAAAAAAAAGAATCTGCAACCACTATTAGAATATCTAGCCCAACATAATCAAATAAATTTAAGATGGAGAACTATACTAATTGAAATAAGGTCAATCCAAACATATATCAGCAGCAGCATAAATATAAGGTTGTGTTTGGACTCACTTTTATTAGTTACTTCTCATTTTCTATTTTCAAAAACAAGTACTTGAGCAAAAAAAATTAGCAACCGTGTTTTCATTTCTTTTAATACAAAATTAGTTGTTTCATGAAATTATGAAAACATCAGCAAGGCAGCATTAACATTTTTATTTTAAAGTCCGTGCAGTACTTTCAATTATTTAGTCTAATTAGATACTTCTTATGGTAAATATCTATTCATAAAATTAATAAGACGAATGTTCTGCTTGCCGGATACATCCAACATCTCAAGGTGGGGTTTACTTTTTTGGCTTGATAAGCATTTATTTTCTTATTGGAAGTTTTTTTTAGTTCGATTTATTTTAATTCAATTACGCACATACACATACAATATAATTCTTAAATGTGTGATTACTTTATTATAGCTCAGCTTCCAATCAATAGATTAAAGGTTCATTTGGGATATCTTTCTTTGACATAATTTTTTATTAAGGTAATATTTCTTATAGGTAATATAGAAATTTATCAGAGAAGTTAGGTTTTTAATTTGGAGAACAATCTTATTAATGTTAAAACCCACAAATATTCAATATCAAACTTTTTTTTTTATCAAGAGATCATATTATTAGAGGCTTAATTTTTTTTTTCCGTAGGACATTTAGGGCCATTTTAATTTCTAACAAGAGAATGGAGAAAAATGCATGTTGTTGTTGTTGTTATTGTTGGACATTTAGGGGCATAGCACAATTTCATTAGCTAAAAAGGATAAGTACAATAGTTAGAACCTATGAAATCAGGAAAAAAAATTTATAGAGCAGTACATGCTAAGAAATAGAATAGAGAAAATCTAAACATTTTTAACATATTCCAAAGTAAAAAACATAACTCATAAAGTACAAAAAACACCCATAACCAGGTGTAGTATCTGAAATAGTCGATCATCATCGTCCTGCAAAAATTCCACAAAGCAATTTCCAAACGAATAAAGATTGTACATTGTAGTGGAACTTATGCAATAAATATGGCTTAATAGTGAAGGGATTTTCTTACACAGCTCATCTATTTTTCTTGAACTCGTATAGACTATACGATGATGCTATTGCTTCAAGCTGTTGAATTTATACATTAAATTTTATAGAAATATAACACATATTTATACATATAAATATAATATATATAACACATTATAAATATACCACATTTATACATATATAAATGTTGTGGAGTTCTATTATAAATATAACACATTTTAAATTTATGCTTTAAATTTGGATTTATATAAATTCCATAATCTAAATATAATAGATATCTTTATAAATATTTATGCTATTAGCTTGCAATTTCTTCCCCTTTTTTTCTTTTGACTTTCAAAGTTATTCCAAGTGAAAATTTATGTACCCAACATCGATTATTAGATTTGGACTTTAAGATATAGGGACAAAAAAAAAAAGTAAAACGATTTTCTAGGATTAGATGGGCATTTAAAGAATATTAATAAAAATATTTTTTAGAGTAAAATTTTAGATCTTAAGATTCTATCTGTGCATGAGGATGCTAATATGTGGGAAAAAATGGCTAGTGGTATTAAGAATATTGCAAAAGATGTGTTTGGAGTTTCGAAGGGAAAAGCTCTTAATAGTAAAAATAGTTGGTGGTGGAATCCTAATGTACAAGAAAAGATAAAAAATAAGAAGATTTGTTATAAAAATTGGTTTAGATGTAAAAATTTTGATAATTGAGAATGCCATAAAGAGGCTCGTAAGAAATCTAAGAAAGTTATTTGCGATGCAAAGAGCTTAGCTTTTAATGATTTATATAATATATTAGATACTATGGAGGATGAAAGATATATGTATAAGTTAGCCAAACAAAGAGATAGGAGTTGTAAGGATTTAGTTCAAGAAAAGTCTATTAAGGATGAAGATAAAAAAATACATTTCTTAGAAGATGATATTCAACAAAGGTGGATGAGATATTTTGCTAAACTTTTTAATGAAGAATGTGAAAATACAATTGACTTTAGTGACTCTATCATCCTAAATGAAAATAAAGATTTTTGTTTTTATCGACGTATAAATAAAACCGAAGAGAGGCTTTGAAGAAAATGAAGTGTGGAAAAGCTATTGAACCTGATGATATTCCAATAGAGACGTGGAAATGCTTAGGAGAATGAGTTTTGAAGACTAAAAAGATGCCAGATCAATGGAGAATGAGTGTGTTAATTTCTATTTTTAAGAATAAAAGTGATGCACGAGTGCAAATTATAGAGGAATTAAGTTAATGTATCCTACTTTAAAATTATGGGAGCGAGTTATGGAGCGTAGGTTGTGGCGTGATACTAATGTTTCTCAAAATCAATTTGGATTCATGCTGGTAGGTCTACTATGGAAGACATGCATTTATTGAGAGGTATGATGGAGAAATATACAGAGAATAAGGAGGATCTACATATGATATTTATTGATTTAGAGAAAGCATATGATAAAGTTCAAAGATAAGTGCTATGGAGAGTTTTTGAAAAGAAAGGAGTTAATAATGCTTATATTCAAATCATTAAAGATATGTATGCAGGAGCTATTACTTGTGTTCAAACACAAGGTGGTTTGACCAAGTATTTTCCTACTTCGGTTGGATTACATCAAGGATCAGCCTTAAGTCCATATCTTTTTGTTCTCACTAAACATTTGCAAGAGATGTACCTTGGTGTGTGCTTTTTGCTGATGATATTCTTCTTGTTGGTAAGACTTGATAGGAAGTTGAAGGTAAACTTGAATTATGGAGGTCAATCTTAGAGTTTAAAGGGTTTCCATTGAGTAGATCTAAAACTAAATATATGGAGTGTAATTTTAGTAGCAATAGACCTAGTGAGGGGATTGTGACTTTTGGGCGATCAAGTCATTAATAAGTGTATACGTTTTAGATATCTTGGATCTATTGTTCAGAGTAATGGTGAAATAGATGGGGATATTATCAGCAGAATTCAAGTTGGATGGTTGAAGTGGAGGATGCATCGGGTTTATTGTGCGATAGAAAAGTACCCCTCAAACTTAAGGGAAAATTCTATAAGATGGTGGTGAGATTTGCAATGCTATATGGTGTCGAATGTTGGTCATTAAAAGAGAAGCATAATACTAAGTTGTGTTGCAGAGATGATGATGCTTAGGTGGATGAGTGGCTTGACCCTTAGAGATAGGATACGAAATAAGCATATATGTGAAAAGGTTGGAGTAGCTCTAATGGGAGATAAGATTAGAGAGATTCGCCTTAGATGGTTTGGTCACATTAAACGGAGGCCTTCTGATGACCCGGTTAGGAAAGTTGAGGTATTATATTTGACTTATATTAAAAAAAGGTAGAGGTAGACCTAAAAAGACTTGGTTAGAAAATATTAGAAATGATCTTTATTTATTAGATTTAAATGAGAATTTGACTTTTAACCGGACACAATTGCGAAAAAGGATTCATGTAGCCGACCCCACATAGTTCGACAAATGCTTGATGTTGTTGTTGTTTTCTTTTTACTTTCTTGGTAAATGTAGTACAACGTATAAAAAAAATTGAAGCAAAAAAAAAGTATTAAAAAAATGGAAAATGATATGAGAAAATTCAAGGAAAAAAATTGTAAGTATGAAATTTTATGCATCTTCATTGCCGTCGACACCTGTCATCGTGCAGGTATA